GAAAGCATGAGCATAGATCCACATCATCACGATGCCACAATAGTTAGAGAGCCTGACCACTGATCCAAGTTGGTCATAGGTTATTAGGGAACAACTGTACCCTAGAATCCACACATTCTGCATTGAGACCAAAAAAAATAAATTATGCTCTTTAAAAAAACAACATAACTATTTTAATTTTGATAACTGCCCATTTTGAAAATATCACCATCTGAGAACCAAATGTTCATCCATTTTTTCATCCTAATATAACTATCTCACTTTTCCTAAAACAGAATTCATATCCTTTCGGTACAGCAAAGGCTAAATTCCCAATCAATACTTGGAACACATTGTATGTTCACCAAGACCATCGGTAATATACAGTAATATACAGTAATATACAGTAACATACAGTAAAATTCAGCAAATCGATACATTCTGCTAAGGTGGGATATGTTATTTATACACTAACTGGGGCTGCTATTTGCTGTAATTTTGTCCCCGTTCAAGAAATGGACTCCAATGAAAAAAATAATTCATGAGAGGTTCTCAAAATATGAAAATAGTGCTGCCGTCCGACATATGTGCACAGGGAACATTTACTTCCTTTGATGTACCCCATTATCTCTACACTGTGTCATGGACAGAGATTAACAGCAAGGAAATTGCTTAATGCTGGAGACAAGAGTTGGAGATGATTTGCCTCTGTGGGAAGACATGATCTGGTTACAGTATGTAGGACATCACCTTTGCCAGCCCAAGGTCATCATCATCTTGCAAGGTATCCCAACTCAGAACACGGGTGCTGCAACCACTTGAACTGTAAGCCCTACGCTCAGTGTATTTCTTGGTAATGTGCACATGCTTGGCTTAAATATTATCCTGATTACCAGTGGTCCCTTCCCCACTAAAAATCAATGGCAAGTCTATTTCCAGGAACATAGCGGAACCCCCCGAGAAAGTTTGGAGGATCGGCGCTCATCAGCTAAAAGCAAAGATCGCGCAAGTCTTGGGAATACATCGCATTCTCATCAAACTTTTATTTCCCTTGTGCTGAACTAGTCTACCGAGTGGTCTGAAATTATGACACCCTGGGCACCGAAATTGATTATGCTCGGACTACAATTAAATCCACACAAAAGAACAAACTCATGTCACTTGTTGCCAACTCCCTGGTCTATGGAAAAGGTATCTGCAATTTTGGTCATAATCGAGCTTTGGGATCTCGAAAAACATCCTTTAAGTCTCAAGGGAACGATCAGGAATAATTTTCATTTTATTTGCAGCAATTTCTAAGAGAATTATAAAGTGCGATTTTCAGGATAAATGACCCCTGCCTTTAGAGCTCTTAATGTCTATTATATAGACTCCCCTTTCTATCAACTTTAATTAAATTTCCTGCAAACTTGTGTGTGACAAAGACTAGTGGTAGTCACAAGGTGCATGGGAGTCTTATGGAACAATTCCTTCCTTTCAGACACAGTAATTTGGTCTTCACCTTTGCAATACATGCTGTACTTGATAATGGAGTCATATGGGATATACTAATGGCCCCATGGGTAAAGTGTTTGCTCGTCACACCAAAGACAGGGTTCAGCTCCAAAAATAGGTTCAATGTTTGAAGACTAATCAAAGTAGATAATAATGATAGCAATGTCAAACCTCACTAACTAGTAATAAAGGGAGGTCCCCCAACATCCCCCCCAATTTTCTTGTTTGAATCTCTGAGGATTGATCTTGTTAAATGTATATTCTTTCATGGATTCCTAAGTATACATGTTCAAGATAGGAAATTTGTGCAAAATCTAGCAACTTCAATGACATAAATGCCACAAAGAGTGAGTATGGTTTTACGCCGCTTTTAGCAATATTCCAGCAATATCACGACAGGGACACCAGAAATGGGCTTCACACATTGTACTCATGTCGGGAATCCCACAAAGAAGCATAATGTGATTATGAGATGTTTGCTCATCTTATAAATTGGTACAGTATTCAGTGTATATTATTCAACAGAATCATTTTTCTGGTCTTCAATATTCGGCTTATCTACGGTCATATACAGACAGTATACTGAACTTTTGAAGAAAATTTCAATTCTTCTTCAAAGCCACAACTATACCTGGGAACAATAAATTCTATATAGTCTTTAAATTCAGTTTTATAATCTTGGTATTCAGAAACACAGCCTAGTTAAACCCAACTCAAATAAGTAGGTAGTCTTCAATAAGCACCCACCAACATCAGGTAGGAATTCCAGGTTTGAATTGGTCCCAAGCAACCTATGCTTGTTGTAAAATGCAACTTAATGGATTGGATGGTCAGGTTTGGTGACTGTGTTATCATATCTGGACAATGTGGAACATGCTCATAATATCAATCCCTGGTTCATCTGGTACTAACTTTGATTATTTACATGCCACCATTAAACAGCTGGAATATTGCAGCATTAAACAACAAACAAACAACCAACCAAAAAGCACTTTGAGCAGTCAGGCGTTTATGGAAATCAGCTTCATATCTCTACCCGTCATCACCCGAGTTAAATGGGCATTGTAGATGCATTGTAGCTGAATGATGGGAATCACAACAATTTAGGTGTCACTATCTTCGGGTGTTAATACACTAGGCGTCTTAATAATATCTTTAACATTGCACACTGTCCTTAACTAACCATGATAGATAATGTTGGAAAAATTCCTTTCCTGCCCCTGAGATCAAGACAATCTGACTCAGTTCCCCGTTCTCATAAAAAAACAATAAGGTTGACTATTTTGGTAACCAAATACCCTAATTGGCAGTGTCTTTGCCGCCCCCTTCTGGAAATGATAATCTTTGTAAAGGAATTAGTTGAATGCTGAAAGAATCTCGTAGCATTACTGTCAATGTACACCAATTTGCATGTCTGATGACGAGCTATCAAGGGACACATACACACAGACAGGCCCAACCACAGGTATCACAAACTTGGTATCTGCCAGACTGCATTGTAAATACCAACTAAACTCCTTGACAATTCCCAGAGGCAAAGATCTCCGCCCCTTGATGTGACCAAATCGTTTTGGATTAGTACAAGCCCAAAACAGGCAAGGATTAACATTATCATTTTACTAATGTGCTTCAATCATTATCCAATGACTGTTTTTGTAAAGATGTTGCCAAAACAGATTGATCCAGTAAATGAAATATAATCTCCATTTACAAAAGTATGTATTTTCTAGTTTAAACTACCATGATGCGATGAAAGCAAATTTAATCAATTTAATTCAGGTTTAATTCAAATGTCAAATGTCTATGCAGGAATAATTCTTCTTCAAGGATTAACTTCAAAAGGTTAAAAAACATAAATTTAACAGGAAACCTAAAATGGTGAATAAATTGATTTTATAAGTGAAAACAATCACTTCTAAAGTACAGTATGTTTATTTTTTGGGTATAATTCATGTTTTTCCGCATTATTAAATATTCCCAACATATGCACCGTTGGTCAACAGTCGTGTCCAATTTGCATCCAGATGTTCCCTCCACAGCATGAAGCTATTTAATATCTGGTTCTCGACTTGAAGCATTGATCAAAACACTTCCAACATACATTATCCAGCAGTTTCCATTGTCCTACTGAGAGGAAGTAGATGAGAAAGAGACCATGAAACATGTTCAATTTAAATAAATTATTTTCTCATTGTTGGTGAATTTCAATTTGCACTGTTTATTTTGATAACTGGTTTCTCAATTCTGACTATTATTTAGGTCAATTCAAATTAAATATTAGTAAACTGGACTTTCCTCAAATGTCTGGCTTTGGAACATATAATTAATGTTTGTGTCCTTGGCAAAATTACCTAGTCAACTGATGGAATGTTAATGACTGAAAAAAGTTACATATTAGTTTTTAGCTTTGCATTGATGTTTTTAAACCAATGGGTTTTCTGAAGCGAATGTTAAGCAAATAAAGTACTTAAGTCCCTATTTCTACACTAATCTCTTGACAAAATAAATCCCCAATAACAGGACAAATTGTACTATGGAGATTTCAAATGGCATTCATCAATTTGTAGTAGCCTTAGTTAAGATGTGTCCATTATTTTTATTCCTGCCTGCTGACGTTTATATACTTCATTACTTTTCCTTATGCAGCCATAGAAATTTGATGGTTATTTTTAAGACTAGTCCCCATGACTAGTGTCAACCTTAAGTCTCAGACTTTGTAACTAGTACTGCTTGTACAAGAAAATAATGATTACTATGTTTACATTTTATCAGTTTTGTACAGTTTCAATTTGTGGCAAAACTTCAGCATTGAGAACTGGCTCAGAATTATAGCCCTAAAATGCTTTCTGGACTATCACCGTGGACTTTTACCCATCCTCAGCACAATTTTTTGTCTTTGGCTAGCATGAATTTCGAAGGCTCCTTATAAAGGTTATCTCTTTCCTATGCATGTCTTAGTAGGCCTGACAGCTATTCACCAAACTTACCCTATCAATGAAAGATTTAAAAAGGCCCTCATTAACCCAGCTGTTCAAGACTGATTGACCACAGAAATATTTTTGATACTTCACGAACTCACATCAGATCTCTGTACTAAACTAACCATATCATCAATGAATTGAGACTTACCTTTCCTGTAGGACTATACTGCTCTACATTTTCTAAGGACCAAGATAGTCATCATTAGTTAAAGATGTGATCCTTAGCAAATGTTGAGTAGGATATATGCCACTTAAACCATCTGAAGCTTGGGTCCCAAGACAATCCTACCTTAGTACATGCAACTGTCGTAAGCATAAGACTTACGATAGTCGTAGTGGTAAGATTGCAATGAGGCATAGGTCCACGGGTAAGAGGTGTATGAATAGATTGTAGCAATGGTTAACATTCAAAGATGAACAGTTTTGACATCCAGTGTACATTTCAGAATCTTTTGGTTTTTTTCAGTTTGCAAACAATCTTTGAAAAGTGAACACATTGCATTTTCCCGCCTTCATGTCTACACCACTCCCGGGATAAATACTTACGAGATTTCTCCAAATACTTTGAAAGCTTCACGTAACTGGTGGCCCTCAATATCTGGACTCAGATCCCCGACAAATATGTGAAAGTGTTCTGGAAGAGAAAGGAAATCAAATTATGGAAACCGCACACCTTGACTCACGCCCTCTCATTTACCAGAGGGAACGTTACCATTGTCAAATCAGGATAAGCAGCATCCTATCAAACATGTCCCTTCCCCCCTTCAAACCTCCCCCATCCCGTCCCCCAAAGTTACCCACAATCCATTTCTTCTTTTGCAGACCCACCTTGTCCTGGGACTGTAATTTGTTTGCGCCACCATGTATCAAGTCTCTCATGGAATGAAGTTCACTTTCAAAATCTGTACTTATCACAAAACAGAACTTGGTTCTCTTACTCCAACAAAAAAAAAAAAAAAAAAATTCTCTCCCCGTTTTGGCTACTGGTAAATATCTGATTTCTTTTTTCATTTTTAAAAATTTCTCTCCCTGTTTTGGCTACTGGTAGATATCGAATTTCTTTTTTCATTTTTTTTTTTCATAATTAGGTGGGCAGTATTAATGAAATAAGTAAGACACACATACCATACGTTGATCTTAACCACTCTGAAATGCAGGAAAGAACCTCATCAGTCAAGTAATAAAATGTGGAAACAACAGAATTAGTACTAACTAGTGCACGAACATCCAAAGGACAACACTGTCCCAAATTTCAACACTGTTTTGTAATTCTTTTTCCGGAGAAAAACAATTTAACACAAAAATTCCCTTTTTGAGTTTCCATGTTAATTTGACAAAACAGATCCAAGTATCTCCCTCCATGTGGAAGTGTTCATCAGCATCAAAAGTTGTTGGGAGTATATCCTGTGTCCAGATCTATAAACTGAGTGCAGTTTATAACACTTTCATCAGGTCAAATTTCCACAATGTTAACTCAAACCATGGATTAAATTGATGTTCAATTATAATGTTGGTTTCATTAGTAGGTAAACAGTTTAACCAAATTAGGGCAATTTAAACATAACAGATGGTCCGATATTATGGGCACAGAAGTAGAGAAACTGTGCATCTTCTGTCATGAGATGACTGTCTTTCAAGTGTGAGTGAGTGAGTATGATTTTACGCCACATTTAGCAATTGTCCAGCAGTATCACAGCGGGGGACACCAGAAATGGGCTTCACACATTGTATCCATGTGGGAATCGAACCCGGGTCTTTGGCGTGACGAGCGAACGCTTTAACCACAAGGCTACCCCACCATCCCTTCTCTTTCAAGAAACCAATGCGGATCCTTTATCTGGAATAAAACTGCATTAAAAAAACATAGAACAAAACCAGCATCACAAGATATCACGCTGTAACTAAATCCTGTATTTACACACAAAACATCAAAGTATCACTGTTCAATGTCCTTGTCGACTACTATGAAGTAATCTGTCACATTCAGACCACACTAACTATAGACGACATTTAACGCATCTTCAGCTTCACAGAGTACCTCACTTGCATATGTTGGTTGGTCCAGCTTCCCTCCCCATCAATCTAACGCCCGTGAGCAGATTGGCTCTTGGCAAGGATCGCGACCTTGTCTGTTCAATATTAACTCACTAATGGCACTAAACAGTCTAAATGTTTGGACACAAAGATCAGTTGAGGCGCAGGTGAAAGCTATTGGTGACAGAATAACCTCCGTGATTCCAGACATAGCTGGACCAATATAGACCCATCACTGCCAAGCTACATGTTGGGGATAGATCCAAGGCAATCTTAAGCATGTTGTCGAGAGTCCTTGAAGTCTGACTTACACACATGGCTTCTTCAAACACTATCACTCACTTTCTTAACGTGGTGTAGCAATGCATTCAAGATGTTAGGTGATACAAAGAAAAATCTTGAGAAAAATATTCGGAAAATTCAAATTGAAATTACATCCCAATTAGGGTAGCCGAATCGTATTTCCACTGAAAGACATTTAAAGAAGGTTCTGTGTATATCAGCTTTATGCAAAATCACTTAAAGCTCATCACATTCGGCTCCCGTAGGAATACCGATACACAAAAGATTTCACAAAACTCCCGTTGAAGATAATTTTTGACACTTAAATATTTCTACTTTTATCCAGCAACTTCTTCCAGATTTCTTTTAATTCAATTTATTTCAAAACCACCAGTTTTCCTTTACACCTTTAAGACTCTAAAAGGTTAAGAACTTGCATAGTGCAATCAATTACACATGATGTTAAAGCTTAAACGTAATCTGCCAAATAAAACAGTGGTGAACTGTTTGCTGACGTGGTTGCAACACCCACTATGATCACTGCAGTTGATAATGAGGTGGTCAAAATGCTTATAAAGAAACAATTTGTGATTATTGGACTTGACATTCACAGAAGTAAATTAAACTCTGCATGAAGCATAACTGGGGTGTTAACCAAATTATACCATTATTTGCCAAGTCTGGTTTGACATCACACGAGTGCTCGTACTTGCTGATCAAAGTAAGTGCACCTATTGTTTTACAACAGCTACTGTTAACTGCAAATCAGCCACATCTTCTTTCATATAACTGTGTTAAAGTGAGTGAGTGAGTGAGTGAGCATGGTCTTACGTCGCTTTTTGCAATGTTCCAGCAATATCACGATGTGTTGTTGTTTAACGACAGGGGCCTCAAGAGGATCTTGGCGTCCTTGCCGTTTTTAATCTTAATTTGAACATGGGATCCCCAACATTTGTAATTTCCAACAGTGAGTGAGTAAAAACTTCAGGAAACATTGCATCAGCATTATTTCAGCCATTTAGCAATAGTAATTTTTAACCTTAAGGTTATAAGGAGCCCTTTATTTTCATTCTTAATTTTGAAAATATTGAAAATAATCAGTTATGATGACGGGAAAAGTAGGCCACCATTTTGAACCAGACACAAGAATGTTGCTTCCCTTGGCAGAAAAGAATATATCAATCTTACAAATTACACCGAAATGAAGAGATGAATTCAAGCATCAATATTTAATTTAAGTAATTTGTTGCAAAAAGAAGACATGGGAAAAAATCTCAGCTGGATTTAGATTAGTAGCTGGATTGTCTGCTTGCGTAACAGTTTGAAATTGTTGAACACGAGTTTCCACCATATTCGTTTAAAAGTTTAAGTGTTTCAAATCAAGTCACCAAATATTGGGCTGGTTTGATGGCCGGACATTGCAGCTATGCTAAGAGTGTGACTCTAGTTTCCACTGTACGAGTACTTTAGAGGCCTCTTGGGTTTTAACTGCTTAAAGTGTTCGTTTGACTTCTCTGATGCATACTAGGAATGAGACTGTCTCCCTCGTTAATTCAATTTGGACGATTTTCGACCCTATAATCAACAGCAATCTTCAGAAGGCAGATTTTTTTTTACAACATGTAATAATGTTATAAATACTGATAGACTTGAACGAGAGAGTTCGCAGGAAAGAATTGATTGACGACAGATCAAAGGTGTTATTGACAAGCTTATAAAACAAACTCCAATCTGGCTTCATCCTATTGCATTCAAACATTACGGATTAGGGGGATATGAAAAACACGCGATACAATGCCTGGGTAATGGCTAGGACAACGAGCATTCACACACAGCTACAACAGACACTACGAATTAAATGCAGCTGTATATTCCTTAACTGAATCAGACTATGACCCTCAAAGCCTGCCGCGAATTCAGAAAAGCTGTGATGAAAGATTACCCTTAGAATAAAATCTACAGGAGAACTAGATCTAATTGGTGATCAACTAAAGGCTAGGGCTGACTGCATGGTGGCTGTGTTTCAAATCACTTCTAACGCGGATGTATTGGCAGGCCAGTCCAATCGCCTGCTCTCCAACTCTCATAATTGAAGATAAGTTACTTTCCACAAGGGAGAGATAAATCGTAATGTATGGAGGACAAGGGTTTTATTACTCCCTCTATTGGTTATTCTTGGAACTGAAAACCCCTACAATGCAACGGTACAAGTAATCATGCTGGATTACCATATCTGCGAGTGCTTGGTGACCAATCTTTGGCTCACATACCATCACCTCCAGAAATCCCCTCTTAATGACTGCCATAAGCCTGATATGCAGTCACTCCATTGGAAAAATGAGGAGCTTTTAACATGAAATTAGCATGGCAAATATTTTGGTCAATCTAAAAAAGAGTGACAATAATTCTGTTGCTAACAGCAGAATTAGGAAGTGTGCTGATCACATAATGACAAAAAGGAAAATTTCAAAAGAATTTGAATATCCTGGAGCTCTCTCTTGAAAGACAAGAGTTTATTGCGATTCTAGTCAAGGGAGGTAACTCTCCTTCAAACTGATCATTGTAAAGGCTTTGGATTTCAATTGTCTTAAAACCTGTTTAGGAATCAAATGAGTTGTCGACATGATTGGAGTATAAATGAAGAGACGTCTTAGAAATAAAAACAGAGCATCAGGAAAAGCAGATTTGGAGCGATTTGAATAGAATTCACAACAAATTGAGAATGTGTTAATCAAACTTTACTCTTCATTTCAAAATTGTCACCTTTGTCATGTTTTTCAAGAAATTTTCGTAATCTTAGTGCCGTAGGCTACTCTGAAATTCAAATTAGAAAAACACTTTTTTGAGCATGAACCTCTGAGCAATTTGTTGACTTTAATTAGCTTTGCCTTAGGCTTAAAGAGTGAGTGCCTCAGCAATAATTTATAAGACAAACCATTTCTCGAGGGGTAGCCAAATTCTACAGTTATTTCTTCACTTAGTACAGAATACGACAGGCCAACACCTTGCTGGGGATTTCCAAAACTGATTAATGAATAATTAACAATCAATCAATACACCCATCCTGACAGCTACTGGAAAATTTTGATAGTGAAAAATTCCCTATGGTGCGAAATGGATAAGTTATGCATCGGCCATCAGAACGAATGGCAAAGCTGTTGAATTTCCCCCGCCAGTGGCAATCTTCACGTGTCAATATTTGCCACGTAATAGATTATATTTAACTTCCCAAGTGTCTCCGATCTTGGACGGAAAACACAATTTGGGATTTGAAAAGTGAGAATTTGCAAAATCATCTTTGTAATCACAAGACTGTGTAGCGCTGGAGTAAAGTGTGAATCAGGATGCGAGCCAATTGTATCCTTTTTTCAAAATGATTAATGTCTGCCAACATTTCAATTGATATTTTCCTTCTATAAAACATTAGATATATGTGATAGGGAAAACCCCATAGATATTGAATTTCCTCAGCCATAAACTATACCACTTTAATTTTTGTCTTGAAGAATCTAGAAATACAACTCACTAACATTGCAAATATTTTAACACACTGAAAATCCATAAAAACATTATTTCCAATAACCATGGATAGAAAATCATTATTCTTTAAATACCGTAACAGAATTGGTAAAATAAATTAAAAAAATATTCCTCCAAGTGATGACATTCAATCTGAAAGATTTCCCAGCCATCCAACAACAATGAGATGCTCTGGTTAATCTAACAGCAGAGGATTTTTCTACTGATTTTTACTTCATCAAACAAAACTGTGATGTAAAATTCCAAAATACCAAAGTTGTGCTAAAAGCAGCATCAAAGAAAAGTGTATC